GGGGCGTGTTAGAACGAGCCGTTTTAGGTAGGCGTGGCTGACTCTTAACTTTTATAAAGAATATCTCTTTGGATTTGAGACTTTAGTCTTTGCAACTTTACAGATCTTCTTTATGCACCAAGAGCTTGTAATACTCCAAAGAGAAAGGAAAAATTGAAATCGCATCATATGACCCCTTTAAATATGAATTAAAGTGAAATCATTGTGCCTTGGCAAACTTGTGCTTATTTGGGCCATTTGCCCTTCTACATTTCTGTGAATATATTTATTTATATGGATATATTTGCTTCTAAAGAACAGAATCTGTGAAGCAGAACTCAAAATAAGGACTGATAAGATAAATGATACAGAAAATGCATTTTAATAAACTGAAAATAAATTGATTACATCAAATGATTTTGTCTCTTGTTCTTTCTTAAGTGACTGTTTTTGAATTTAATTGACCCTTTTGTGTGTTTGCAGTGGACTTGTCCATAAAAGAAAGCAACATCTGGTCTTATTTCATCTTGTTTTAATTATATGTATGATCATCATCATTATTACTTGTCCCACAGATTGCACATCGAAATCATCAGACACTTAGTTTGTACACTCCTAGAAACAGGCATCCGTTCATGTCCCTGGAAAAAAACGAAAAGAAAAACATACAAAATGACTTGACTTGAATGCAAAAATAAGAAAAGGATGGGTTTCGAGAGTGCCGAGTCACTTTCCGCAGCCCATGCTGCACAAGATAGTACTACGCTACCTGACTCTGTTTTTATTATTTGTTTGATTAGTTTTACAAGGTGAGGCGAAATTGTTATCCATTGTTTTGATGGATGGTGTTTGTATGCCCTCATTTACAGGCACAAAGCAGGAAAAAAACCTCAGAAATGCTCTATTTCTATCCAACACAAAAAGTAATAGGTTGTCAGATATTTTCTTGCGGTTATTTTTTTTCTACCTTTTTCATTTTACTCCTTTCTCCTTTTTTATTTGTTTTGACTTTTTTATTTTTTACAATTACAGCAACATTATTTTCTAACAGTGCTTGCTGTTTATACAGTAGACAGAGGCATCCTGAAGGTTAAATAGATTTCTTGTGAGGTTTCTCAGATTTTTCAAAAATAAAAAGTTAATGCAGATCATAGAAATGATCTTGTAATAGATTCACACCAGTATATCTGGGCTTTACATACAGTAGTGAAGCAACATTAGCTTACCAGACGCAAGCTGGCCAGTCACATAGAGAAAAAATGGGAGAATGGACAGAAGCTGAAATCACACACACATACACACACACACACACACACACACACACACACTGAATACGTACTAAAGGCTTTTACAGGGAAACTCTGAATATTATGGTCGGCGCTTCATAATAACTGCCCAAAAAATTGCAGATGAAACTAGGAAAATAGCTTTGAGCTTCTTATCGTTTCAGAATCCGTAGGGGAAAGACATCTACTGTGAATTGTAAACATTTGAAGACAGACGGAGAGTGTATCTTTCTCTCCATTTATGACCGTAAACCCCCATCCCAACGCACATGCTGATGTCTTGGACTTCCTCTGGCACTAACAGGAAACACAATTTACACATTTCCCCGCCTGTGGACACATGATCACACACATGCACACACAGAATAACTAAATATACGTCCACCGGCTGTCCAACACATCACTAACGAGTGAACCGCACACACAAGACTCCTCCCACGAACCAGGTGTGAAACCCCGCCCCTGCCACACCCCTCTAATAAGCATCGTTTGATTGACAGGACAGGTGTGGCCTCTGAATCGATTTGCAAAGCGTGGTCTACTTCCTACTTGTTTACTGCATATGCCCTGCCCATTTTGTCACCCTGCCCCTTGTGTTGCCCCGCCCCCTCTTCCCCATCTCCTTCCATCTGATTACATACACAAGGAGAGAGGACCTGGTCAGAATGCAGACTGAACACACACGTCGATAAGAACACAGAGTATGTAGAGGGGGCAAGAAAGCGAGACGTTTTCCAAAGCCAGAGATCCGGTGTTGGTGGTTTTGCCGTGAAGGGGCCGGTTAGCAGTTTAGCAGTCTCTAGCACAGCAGGCAGGAGATTCTGGGATTCTGCAAGTGGTAATGACGGTGTTGGCTGGATGAACGCTTTTATTTGGTTCAGTTTTGCGATGACACATTTCCGTTTCCATAGGTTTTGATCGAATTGGTTGGTAGATTGATTTATTTGGTTATTTTTGTGTCAGGATATCCAGGTTTAGGTCCATAAAGTGCCCTATAGTAAGAGAAAAAAGAGACAAAGATGGAATATGAGAGTCATACTGAGCCCGAGGGTGTTTTCACACATGGTTTATGTCAGGGATCTCGGGAGGTGGTCTAAGCGTGGTTTGCTGTAAGTCAGCTGTGTGGGTGATGTATAAAGTGCATTTATACAAACACAAGCATGTTTAAGGTTTAATTTTGAAGCGTTTACTCGACCGCCTTTCAATACCATGTCAATGAAGAAATTATAGAAAAAAATATAAAACACTAATAGAGTGGTATTAAGTTTAGATCTTTGTAATGTGATTTTTTTTCAGGTCTATAAAGTGCCCTAAAGTGAGAGGAAATGCGACAAAGAAGAAATATGAGTTATACTGAGCCCGCGAGTGTTTTCACACTTGGTTTATGTCAGGGGTCTCAGGTGCTAGTCTGCAAATGGTTTGCTTTAAGTCAGTGGTGTGTGTGAAGTATAACGTGCATTTATACATAGAAACTCAAGTTTGAAGCTTTAACCAGATTGCTTTTCAATATCGGACCAATCAATAAATTACAAGAAAAAAATCCTATATAAAAATAAAAATAATTATTATATAGTATTATATCTTATGCAATATTCAACTTACTACTACTACTACTACTACTGATAAAAATAAATCAATAAATAATTATTGTTAATAATAATAATAATAGGAGAGTTGTCTGAGTTCTAGATGTTTGTGAAAGTTGAATTTTTTAGACTAGAGGACACAAGTGTAAAAACTTGCATTTGCATATTATTACTGTTATTTGTGATATTTTAACATTAATAATAATTTAAAATAACAATATTCTATTGAAGAGGTCTGAGTTCTAGACCTTTGTAAACATGGATTTTTTTAGAGGACTTAAGTGTTAAAAAAAGTGTTTAATTTGCAAAATAATAATAATAATAATAAAAAGGTCTGAGTTCTAGCGCTTCGTGAACACAATTTTATATATAGAGGCCTCAAGGGTGAAAACATTAAGGTGATACTTTCACATTTACTACATGTCTAAAAATGCTCCAAATGAAAAAAAAAAATCCTGTGTTGCTTCTCTGGAAAATGCTTTCTATAGTCTATTTAAAAGTGGTGCACTGAAGTAATGAGATAATGCTGCTAATTAAATTTGATAAAGTCAAAAATTCCAATATGAAAGGATTACTTGAAATATCAAATTATTGAGACACGTGTTTGCATGTAGGTGAATATTTGTGTGATGGTGTTCACCTTTCTCAGTGGTATCAGAAGTAGATGATGAAGGTCAGTCTGAAGGATGTTCAGGGCAGGAGCGGTTGATCTCAAACCAGGAGTCTATACAGCTAATGAAAAAGATGCTAACAATGTCAGCTTAGGTTCAATTTGAATGTAATTTGCATCAGAAAAACAACCTTTCCATTAGCATAATGCTTTTAAATGATTCTACTAATGGTTATTAAGATGAGGTCCAGCATTAAATCATTTTGCTGTCCTCGCTAAAAGTGCAAGAAATTACTAAATCACAGCCAACATATTTGATGTTTAATATACAGCTATGTAGAGCAGGATTCTGGACTGGATATAGAAACCATGTAAGCAAGTGTAACAAATGTCTTGCCGGTTGCAGCTGGTTAGGCCAAAAATATTACGATTAACTTGGAAGTGATAGGATTTATCGGTTGTCACTTTATTGTGCCTCGCCAGGTTAGGACTGAGCGTATAACTTGCTTGTAGCAAATTAGTTTGATTGTGCTTCAGCATCTGAAAACATCTCAAGTGTGAGCTGCAAAAGAACGTCAGCAAGACATGTGGTTCACTTCAAGGTGTCTGAGGTTTGAGACTTTCCAATACGTGTGCCATTCAATACCCAGAAGCCTCCTGCTGAGACACCATATCCAGACAAGAAATGTCAATCATATAGTTACATAATCACATAATTATATATAGGACATGACAAGGTTTGGGTTTCATGATCAGCAAAAAAAAAGTGGAATGTAAATTCTCAGGCAGTTTGACAGCTGAGACCGAAGCTCATTTGACTGGCTAAAAGCTGTAACATTTCCTGTCATGTTTAAGATCAGACTGACACAAGGTTGGACACAATGAGGTCTGTCATTATCACAACCATTTTACCAGTACTGGTGTTGATTAAAAAGGTATTAACCATATAAACTGCGCAATAAAAACGGGGAATCTGATAGTAAAGTAGAAGAAAATGTGTTGTTGCTGTCCATCTCACCTTTTGTGATAGATACAGAGGCACGGCAGTCTAGCGATGGTGTCTCCCTGCTGTAGCTCCTCGAGACATATTACACATTCTCCTGCATCTCTTGACAACACGTCATCTATAACAAATACACAGACACTCACAATGAGCATGTAATGCAAACCTAAGAGACTGATATATAAACACTACCGTTCAAAAAGATTGGGGTCAGTAAGATATGTCAAAATAAATGCATACTTTTATTCAGCAAGGATGCATTAAATTGATCAATAAAGAAAATTTATAATGCTACAAAAGATTTCTATTTCAAATAAATGCTGTTCTTTTGAACTTTCTATACATCAAAGAAACTGAAAAAATGATCTCAGTTTCCACACAAATGTTAGCTGTTTTCAACATAAGAAATGCTTCTTGAGCAGCAAATCAGCATATTAGAATGATTTCTGAAGGATCATGTGACACTGAAGACTGGAGTAATGATGCTGAAAATTCAGCTTTAAAATCACAGGAATAAATTACATTTTAAAATATATTAAAATAGAAACAGTTATTTTAAATTGTAATAATATTACCAACCCCAAACTTTTGAATGTGATTTTTTTTAATTAAATAGGTTTTCAAAAGACTATATGCAAATATGGTTATAAATAAATAAATAAATAAAATTAAGTGTAAATAAATATTTTTTTAACATATATATATTTTTTATAAATAAATATAACTGTTTACAAAAATATTACTTAAATTTTACGTATTCCCTTTGGAGCACATTCATCCCATTTGAAAACTACATAAAAATTTGAGTACATTTTTACAGTTTTCAAATGGGGTTTAATTACACTTCACTTATGTACAAACTTCACATAAACCCATTCTAATAAATGTCATATTTAGCTACCTGTGCCCTTCAGCAAGTAGGAAATATACAGAAATTGAATAAAGTTATCAAACACTAAAGTCTAAATTAAATATAGATGAATCCTTAAAGGAACACTCCACTATTTTTGAAAATAGGCTCATTTTCCAACTCCCCTAGAATTAAACAGTTGAGTTTTACCGTTTTCGAATCCATTCAGCTGATCTCCGGGTCTGGCGGTAGCACTTTTAGCTGTAGCTTAGCATAGATCATTCTATTTTCAAAAATAGTGGAGTGTTCCTTTAAAGATACAAAAGTTATTGATTTCCTCTTTTTTTCTTTTGTTCTTTGATTAACGGACATCACAGAAGCTGGGTTATTAGGTTATTTTGGCTGCTTTAAGAGCTGCCACTGCTGAACATGACGCGGATCTGACACACATCGCATTTTGTCACAACTCTTTACCTTTTCTGACCCACTTGAGGTCTTAAAGTCTCTACTAATGAGCTGACGAGTTGAATCGAGTGTGTTAGATGAGGGAGACAGTGCTGCGGTACTACAGGACCGTTTTAAAAAACATTTCAGATATATGTTCTTAAATCTGATTCATATAAAATATATAACATGCATGCACAGTTTAAAGGCAGCTTTAATCACCTTTTTGTTAAGAGGGCTGGGCTGCTCCAGGACAGTTTTGAAATCCACTGCATTTCAGAGACATGTTCTTAAATCTGACTCATATATAACAAATACTTATATGCATGCATAGTTTTAGGCAGCTTTAATCGCCTTTTTGGTAACTTCATGACTTAACTGATGACATAACTATGGCATTGCATGCTCGTAGTTTCATTTGCGCTTTAAGGAATTATACACAGCATGCGCCACTACATTTGTGCGTGCAAGTGAAGAGCACGTGCTACAAGCACAGTATAATGGCAAACAGGACAGGAAAATTCGTTTTTACTGACATATGGCCTGCATGACAACATCTCATCTGACCACAGTTCACTGTTGTTCTAGCTCTCTCGTCGCCTGTACCTTTTATTTCACGCTCGTTTGACTAGCACCTGGTGCTGAGGTGAAGTTGGAGTGCGCGTCTGAATAGTTTTTCAGTTGATGTGGACGTAAAGACATTCTGTGTCTACATAAACGCAATTCTTGTCAAGAAAAAAGAGACCGAAGCAGCAGTTGTGAGTGGGGTGGCCCTAGCTCCGCCTCTGCGTTAATTGCATTAAATATTTTTAACGCATTAAACTGAAAAAATTAATTGTTTGCGTTAACACCCTAATTTTGATGGCACTAATATTTATGTACTTATTAAGAATCATATTTCCATATAGTTTTCTGGAAAAAAAAACTTTAAAAACACCAACTACCATTCAAAAGTTTGAGATTGGTAAGATAAAAAAAACAACAACAATAAAAACAGTAATATTCCCCTTGTAGTACATGGACCCCATTTGAAAACTCCAGTTTTATCATATTTTTGGCCATTTTATAAAATCAATGTAAACTAACTTTAATACATAAGTCTTGTGTTTTTTTTTGTTTTTTTTTGCAGCACAACTGTGGTACCATTACCAACATGTCACAACTTATGTCGGATTGGGATGTTTGATACTGGATATTCATGAAAACATACTGTGTATTAATCAAAATGGCTTGTTTGCCAGCAGGGGGCAGCGGTGAGTAAAGACGCATGAAATGCCGTTTACAGCGTTCCTCCGCTTTCTCACTCACAGTGACGGCTGGTTAAGTGAGATGGGTTGGCAGTTAACATAACTAGCTACTCATGGTTCATTGCTGTGTGAATGGTGAATGTTTGTGGTGGAGAGATGACAACGAGGTGTATACTTATTTTCTGCTAATAGCTTAAGGGCAACAACCAACACGATTTGACTCGCATGCCCATACCAGCATAATGACTCGGACACATACACAAATACACCGTTCTCAGACAGTTTTAGTTTCCAGTAAAAGTCTTCTTCACAGGAAATGTGCCTTTCGTATAACGTGCACAGCTTCCCCTGGAAACACCTGTGTGTGTGTGTGAGAGTGTGTGTTTCTGTGGGTGTAAAGGTTTGGAGTGTGGTAATTACTGACAGAAGGTTAAAGAACCATCACGGGATAATGGAGTTTGTACAAACGCAGGATGTTGATTGAGGGTTAACCCGCTTTCCCAGAATGCTTTAGGATCAATCTCACACTACAGAGGTGCAATACCACCTGAAAGATGTGTCACAAATTTGTTTGTGCCGTTTCTTCTATAATAGTTTATTGGTATATTTAGTTTTTTTATTCAGGTTTCCTATTTCAGTTTAGTTTTAATGAACAATAACAAAATAACTTTTTCGGCCAGCCATCTGCATTGCTGAAAAAGCGCCGTTAGGGCACCTGAGGTGAAGATGGGGAGATGAAGCTCCATTGTTTTGTGTGCAGGCAGCGGGCAGACGGGACAAGAGATAGATTGCAGTTTAGAGAGGATGTGATGGAGAGAGAGAGAACGACACGGGTGGAAAGCAAGAAGAGGTGAGCTGGGAAAAATAGGAAATGATGGCAGGAATGAATAGAGAACAGACGGCAGACATATGCTCCAAATACAAATCAGCTTAGCGAGGCGACGCAGTACGGGAGACCAGGGGCAATTGTAACATGCTACATTTCTTCAAAGTTAGGCTGATTTTAAACTTAAATATGTTAAGTATATAAATAATTGACACAAACACTACTGTTAAAAAAATTGGAATTTTAAAAAATATTGTTGTCTCTTATGCTTACCAAGACTGCATTTATTTGATCAAAAATACAGTAAAACAGTAATATTGTGAAATTTTATTACAATTTAAAATAATTGTTTTTTTATTTGAATATAGTTTAAGATATAATTTATTCCTGTGATGACAAAGCTGAATTTTCAGCATCATTACTCCAGTCTTCAGTGTCACATGATTCTTCAGAAATCATTCTAATATGCTGATTTGCTGCTCAAGAAACATTTCTTATTTATTATTAACGATGCATTTTACTTGAAATAGAAATATTTTGTAACATTATAAATGTCGTTAACGTCACTTTTGATCAATTTCATGCATATTGACTGAATCAAAGTAAACTTACTACTGAACATACTGTATATTATAGTTATAATTCATTTATTATTTTTTTAAATAATCAAATAATTGTAATGAATTTGAAATAATAATTAAATGTCCCATTTAAATTTATGCTTTACTATTTTTGACAAAATCAATAAATATATAAATAAACTTAAACACAAAAATAACACAAAGGATAAAACTATACAGTAATAATTAATGTTGGATCTTATTTAAGATAAAACTGGCAAATATTTTATTAAATATTTAAGTGTTACAATTCCCTTTAACCTCATTACAGTGACAATTGCAACACTCTTTAATTCAGTATTATTATATTTCTCATTCTAATTCTTAAGTATTAATAGTATAGTTACTTTTTGCCATTTAAATGTCTTCTATTAAATATATATTAGACAGATGTGTAGTTGTTTGTGAGTTATGAAGGGATTTATGTAAAAAATTGCAACTATTCTAACTCTTCAAAAAATTCTGAAATGCTGTAGCAATTTTCCAGACGCTGGTCCCAGCAAGCCAAACATGCTGCCCTTTCCCCCTACACATCCCTGGACAACAGCAGGACGCACACCGTCCAGCACTTGAGCTTGTTATCCTCTTAGGGCCGATGACTTCAGCAGCTCAGACGAGCTGCACTAGTTTACAGGAATGGACAGGTGTGTGTGTGTGTGAGAGAGAGAGATCAGTCGCTGGTTAGGCCCTTTTAGTTCAAGTTGTTGGTAATCATGTTCCCCATTCTTTCCGCTAGCTGTCAATTTGTGTCTGGGCTTTTCGGTTCAGCCCCTGAAATGTTAATGCTATTACTTTGACAGCAGTTTTGTGTGTGTATCACCCTCTGAAGGGCCCATGTGAGCTGGCCAGTGTGTCTTTTCCAAGTCAGGACTATGCTTGATGATATTTTAATACCTGCTGTTAAATTTAGCTCTCACATGGGGAGGGGGATGAGAGAGAGTTTTTCAGAGGGCAGAAAAACATTTCTGCTGCACAATGTTTTCTTCATGGTCTCATGGCTGAAAGAAAAATATCTATCTATCTATCTATCTATCTATCTCTCTCTCTCTCTCTCTCTCTATCTATCTATCTATCTATAATCTGGTATAACACAGCATTAAAAAAAAAACAAAAAAAAAAACATTTATTAAAACAACTTAGAAAATACCACAACACAGGATGTACTGATTTGCAGTTTAGTGAGTTGTTGACTCAGCAAACACTACAAACAATTCAGTGAGTGAGTTATTCAATGTTCAATTTAAAAAGTGAGCTTTTAACTCCATTAATTCTCAGAATAATTCAGTGTGTCACTTAGCACACTAAACAATTCAGTGAATTATAATTATATTTCTGTGTGCTATTATTTATGATAAAATCACAATCAAATCAAATTTTATGAAATATTCAAAATAAAAAAGTATTTTAATAATCAAAATAATTTAAAGAAATAATAGGTTAGATTAAAATTTAATACAATTCATAAAAAAATAAAAAAATTGCAATATTTTTTTTAAAATGATGAAAATAAAATATAACTCAATGGGTGAGTTGTTATCACACTAAACAATTCAGTGAATTATAATATATCCCATAGTTAAATAATTAATATATGATTTAAATAATACTTAAATCTCCCACTTACACTTTTGCTTTAAACACATTATTCCTGATTTAAAAGAATTAATAATAAAGAAAAACTACAAAATTAACTATTTTGTAAGATAAAATGGGTTAATATTTTTCATGTGTTACAATTTCCTTCAAACCCTTTTCAGTGACAATTGTAACACTCTGAGATCTTTCATTTAATTCAATATTATTATACTTCTCATTATAAGTCTTACAACACAATTACTTTTTGCACATATAAATATCAACGTTTCACTAAACGATTAGGTGAATGAGTTGTTTACTTGGTAAACACTCTGATTCAGTGAACAAGTTGTTCCTTCAGTCAGCACTCCAACGGAGTTGTTAACTCACTAATTATTTGGACTGTTTCATTAGGTGATTTGTCAGATTGATTCAGAACACTTTGAACATCACAAAAAAGTAGCGCTGTATTTTATAGAGAACAACACAATATAATATCCATCCATTATTTTGTGACTGCAAGTTCTGAAATACATTGGAAATCACACTCAAAGCATATAATTATTTTGCTATCTGCTGAATATTATTATAATGAAATCCCCTCGACTTTGATACCATCTCCTCTGGGGTGAAACATGTATTAGTTCAGGGTTAGTCCAATGTTACATCTAGCATTAGTCCAGGGTTATATCCCTGCCTGGATCAATACAAACGGGTGGATTAGAGTTCACAGAGAACTGGAGGGCTAGCGGGCACAAACCATAGTGTCAAAAGACAAGCAAAGTGTACATACTGCATTCACAGACAGCGGCTTTTACAGTGAGCCAGATCTGCTGATGTGTGACTGTCACTGGCTGCAGTTGACAATGGGACAGAGTGCATTGTGGGAAATAAGATTAGTTGCAGAGTGTTCTGGTCTGGTAATGTCACTGACTTGAACATGGTGAGGTCAGTAAGTGACAAAATGATAAAACGAGGGATTAAATAGAAGCAAAACAAATTGAAAAGGAAAGGAAAGCAAGTGTTCTTGCTGTTTGCAACTGGTATTAACATGCATAACCTGTATTAATTTACTTTTAAAGGTGCCTGTACATTTAAAAGCCTTGTTTTAGGTCAATAATTATTGACAAGTAAGCCAAAAGGCATAAAATGAATGTTTTTGTGAAGAAAGATCATGTGACACCAGTAAAGATCAGATGCATCGCTCCGGGTCACCTTTAGCTCAAGCTGGGTTGGACAGCTGTCCCTCAGTCAGGTAGCTGTCAGTCAGACATCCATCCAACCCAACACAGCTGTTACAAGCAGACACTACGCATGTCTTCGGGTCACTACAGCTATGTCATGTGTGCCACCTTCCTGCAAAGCTGCACTTGACTTACTGATCCAAAAGTTCAGAATAGATAGTGAGCTAGTGCTGCTTGTCAATCTATCACCTCGCTTCTTGAATTATACAGATTAAAAAACTTTAGACTGCTGAAAATAACATAAAATAAATAAAAAAACATATGAAATGATTTTCATATAAAACATTTTCATATAAGATAATAGGTTAAGATTCAAATAAAACAAAAATGTAATAAAAAAATTTAAACTTTTTTTAAATTTTTTATTTATATTCATTAATTTTAAAATTATTAAAATTGCAATTATTTTCATATAAGAAAAAAATAATAATGAAAAGAAAATGAAATAATAAAATGAATGAACTACAAAAAATAAAAGATCTAAATTATTTTAATATAATAAAATAGGATTATAGGTAATAGATAAAAGGTTTAGATTAAAATGAATTTCTGAGTGTGTTATTGTGCTGGTACCTTAAGGACTGCCGAAGACAGCTGACTCCTAATGTTTTTAATATTCTTCATATTGTATGCGTGCGCTCTGTAGGGATGTTTTGAATGGTTTTTGCAAAATACTCGATAATGTCAAATCGCACATCGTTAAAACAACAATTACGATATTATCGCAGACGATATATATCGCACACCCCTAGTTAGAAGTCAGTTTATTTGAACTTAGCTCAGTTTTAAATGAATTGACCAAAGCATAAAAGATCAAATGTAATCAAAGTTGACCTAATTTTTTATATATTTTTTTTTTAAATTGAGCAATTAATTCAATTCATCAAAGCTCTAAACAGTTTTCTAAAGAAAAACTTTATACAATCTTTCAAAAAAAAAGTTATCTAATGTAACCATGGACAAAAAAATAATAAGAATATTTAATATAGCCTTACATTTAACTTTGGCATGATTGATGAAAGGATTCAATGAAAACCCAATGGAAAAAAATCAAATACTGACCTATTTATTTCCCACTGAACATTCTATTTGACTCGGATATCCATCATATTACGGAACTTTAATGCAATGCAAATTCAGTAATATCTTTAAAATAATATGAACAGTAATATCAAACATGGCTGGAGTAAAAATCCGTAGAGGAATATTTTGAATAATTGACTGTAATTAGACAGATTACAGATGCCATGAAACAGCAAATAAGAGTATGATCAAAAATGGGTGACAAATGTCATATACAGTGTTGACCTTGGTTTCCCACAGCAAAACAGAAAGAGAGAGAGAGAGAGAGAGAGAGAGAGACCTAGATTTTCACAGTTCACAGACTCTTTTCAGGCCCGGAATGGAGTCACAGACCAGAATGAAATGGAGAATGAAAGGATAAACTGATATAGTGACACAAAAAAAGGAGGAAAATACTGCAGAGGATAGATGTTGAGATGATACTGCTGAAGTTTGCGGGAATAAGAGTGGGCGGAGACGAAGGGGGAGTGTCTTACCGTTGTAGGAGAGGCGGGGCTTGCTCAGACACATGATGAAGTGAACCTCCATCTCATTGGATGCCACTGATTTGGAGCAGACAGGACACTTGAATCCTGGAGAGGAATAAGGAAACAGCATTGTCAGAACTCTTGAAGCAGCAAGAAGCCAGTGGAATGAGCTGTGACAGTGATGCAGCAGTTTGATAACTGCCAATGCCATAATCCTGCGCAACATGTTTCTGTCGCCCTGCTGCAAATGCATTAGCTTGGCTTTTAGTATATTGACACAAAGCTTTTTTAACTTAAACTTACATTTTATAAACACATACATCAATGTCAGTTGTTCAGCAATGTCATTATGACATCGGCAGCTACATGTTAGGCCGGTATTAGCAAACAAACCGACTAACATATAAGAGCATTGCCATCAAGTTACACTGTCTAATAATGCATAAATGGCTGATATTAAAATTCAATATTTCATGGGACTGGTAAGATTTTTTCATGGTTTTGGAAGAAGTCTCTTATGCTCAACAAGGCTGCATTTATTTAATCAAAAAGATACAGTAAAAATAGTAATATTGTGAAATATTATTACAATTTAAAACAGTCTTTGAAGCTGAAATTTCAGCATAATTTCTCCAGTCTTCAGTGTCACATGGTCCTTTAGAAATCATTCTAATATTTGGTGTATTTGTTGTTTTCTTATATTTGGTGCTCAAGAAACTTTTCTTATATCGATGTTGAAAACAGTTTTGTTGATTAGTAATTTTGTGGAAACTGTGACATTTTTTTCAGGGTTCTTTTATAAATATAGTTTTCAAAAGAACAGAATTGATTTGAATTAGAAAATTTTGGAATATTATAAATCTTTTGATTAATTTAATGCATCCTTGCTCAATAAAATGATTAATTTCTTAAAAAAAACATTACTGACCCCAAACATTTAAGCAGTACTGTAAATTAAAAATAAAAGACTAAAAATTTAAATCAAGTGAATTTAGGCTTCACAACATCTACAGTATGAAAAATGAATGGATATTTATTTTGAGATTTGCTAAAAATGACATTTAACAGTGTTATTAAAAAGATTTACTTCATATGAGCATTACATGATGGAAAAAGGAAAAATTTACTATTATAGGAAATGAGTATTGCACAATTGTATATTATTAAATAAATAAAAAATCTTTAATATCAGCCAATATGGTACCGTTAGATCCAGATCCAGGCCTTCAATTTATATTATTTTGAAAATATTCAAATTTGCCTTTGAAAATTATATATTTTGTATTGCAGTGGGGCATTTTTGTAGTTGCCTTTTTGTAGACTTCTATTCACATGAACAGTAGAAACAGAAATGTAACTATTTAGTCATAATCTGAAGTGCCATATTTAATTTTTGACAGAAATTAAAACAAAGCTGTGAGGGACAGAGGTACAGTGTGCTCAATGGATTGCTCAGCTGACAAAATGTCTTTCCAAAAAAATAAAAAAATCAGTAGACAAAAACTCCATAAAATAGTTTTGAAATTTGTGAGTTGGTGAAAATTACATGATCTGGGACCTTTATACAGTGCAGTCCATTGTAAAGACTGTAAGTTGATCCTTCACAGCCTCGTTTTCATCTGCATTAAATTCAATATGGCGTCTAAATGAACTATTACAGTATGTCTAACCAGTCGATTATGCAATAAACCACAACACTAGCATTAGCAACCAAAGGGAGCTTCCGCTAACACCCTGTCCTCTGACATCAACCGAAGGCCCGTAGGGTAAGATAGAAAGAGAGAGCCATTCACACATTAAGTCCCACTGAGCTGGGCTGTGTCCTTCATAAACACAGACGCAGCGACAAGACATTGAGACTCTGTTTGGCACCTTACATCCCACCGTTAAGCCCACAGGCCTTGTTTTTAGACAGACAGCAAAGCCTACGGGCCTTTTCGCATGATTCGTGTCAATGTTTCCCATTGCATTGAACTCTAGGGTGAAAAGTGGCAAGCTAAAGTGTTGTTCCTTCGCAGACTTTGATAAATGAATTCACATTCACAAACTATATGAAAACTTGCCACATCAGCATGGCTATATAAAACAAGTTTGGGGACTTCCATTGGAGAAGGTGCAGGTGTGGTTTTGAAACTGTACTGTACATGAGGGCATGGCCTTGCCGAAAAGACTGGGATACTACAAGTTGCTCTCAGTATTCATGAAGTTTAGGAATAAGCACTGAATAGGAAGCCGTTTCACAATTGCCTGGAGGGTGGATTTTTAGAAATTGTAAACATAAGAGAAAAACCTGATTGGATTTCTGCCGAGAGAAGCTCTCTGTGTTCATGATGTGGAATCTTGGTTTGAGGGGAGCATTGTAAAATCTAATTAACAGCAGTTTTACTCTATTTCAGTGCTTATGCTGATAATTATTTAGGGTGAAGACAGGTTGTTTGCCCTGTGGGAGCAGCCTGAAACATAAGCTGTATAAGATCTCTGGTTAACTTTAGAATTTTGTTTATATTTATTATTTAAATGAGGTAGAAAGAAGCAATAGCATTAAAGAAAAATAGTTCATCCAAATACACAAATTCTGTCTTTAATTATTCAAGGATGTAATCATGAATTATTGTCAAGTAATAAATAATTATCATCACACAGTCATCAGTAGGAAAGTACAAATCAATCAGTAATCCTTCGGATCATATGCCATCATTTTCCTGCAAAATGTGTTTATGAATATATGGAGTTACATTATAGCTGTTTAACTTCCAGTGCACATGTTCTTTTCTTGAAGAAAAACAGTGAACAAAAAACTGTAAAGAAGTCTTAATAGTTATTAAAATATATATATAAAAATATGCAAATTACTGTTTAAAAGTTTGGGGTCAGTAAGTTTTTTAACATTTCTTTCTTTTTTTTAAATAAATGAATATTTCAGCAATCTTTTAGTCAGCAAGGATGCATTAAATTGATCAATAGTGACAGTAAAGATATGTTACAAAATATTTTGATTTCAAATAAATGGTGTTCTTTTGAACTTTCTATTAATCAAAGAAACCTGAAAAAAACTAAATCTATCACTACTTAAAAAAAAAATGTGAGGCAGCACAACTGTTTTCAACATTGATAATAATCAGAAATGTTTCTTGAGCAGAAAATCAGCATATTAGAATTTCTGAAGGATCATGTGACACCGAAGGCAGGAGTACTGACACTGAAAATTCAGCTTTGCCATCAAAGAAATATATACATTCATTCGTTCTGTCTTTTTACCAGTAAAGCGCCATTCACACATCACTTTCAAAATAAATTCTGTGATCTCTTAACGGCTGCGCCTCCCGATGTTGTGTTTGTAAACATGGAGGGGTAAACGCGGTCAGAGTTTTTGTTGATGTTTTCATTTTTGTGTCAAACATTCACATTCATGCAGCTGCTTCTGGCCCAAAGACATTGTATTAAGACGACTTCAAATCGAACTACTGAGCTATCCATCTTTTTCCTAAACGTGGAAGTCCGACTGGAATGATGCTTTACAGTCAAATTAAGGCTGGCCGCACACTAGACGATTTTCAAATCTTAAACGATTTTAAAACCATGGGAGACCACAGACATGAAGACAGTTCAACCGATTTTTAGCCTTATAATCCTCTGAACGCACACACTACATGATTCGACCAGACCACGAGACCACACACTTGTTGATTGTATAAACAATGCGCTCTCCGTGACGACGCGGAAGTTTCAACAAAGGATTAATGAATTTCCAGCACTGAAAATCCCTTGCAGTTGCTCTGCTAATAAATTTATTTACAATGGGTATCCCTGTACAGCTGTCGCGTCCAGTGTAGACACCGTGTCTGTGTGTGAGCAAAGAAAACAATCAGTGTAAATATAACGATCAGTAGCCTATACTAAACATCGCACATCCTGCGATGTGACTATGGCGGATGCGCACATCGCGATATCGATGCTGAAACGATATATCGTGCAGCCCTAGTAGGAACGATTTCACAGTGACACGAGCGAGATCAAACATTACTTTATTACGCATTACTTTATTACTTCACACACAGTATTTTAACTTAACCGCTGTTAGCTATGCGCGTTTTCTTTTGAACATGAACAGATTTGCTGGTACGCAAAACAAGTAGGCCTACAGGAATTCCTTAAGCTTATTGCTGTTACTGTGGCAGCCAACAATAGCACAGCTTAACCCTGCGCACATTTTTATATTTAGCTATATTTAAAAAGTTTCTGTTTAATTAAATCAGTCGATTTTTTTTACATATTGCGTCATCTGCGTCAGAATGTTATGATTGGCCCAGAGTAGACGTCTTACGTCAGCGCGTTCTGAACTCGTACGTGCTCATACCGGTAATCTCATTCTGCATACACACAGAGCACATTACCGGTAATATACTGGTAATGTTAGAACGTCTCATACCGGTAAATTGCCGGAACGAATTTACCAGTATTTTTGAAAAGGTCCTGTTCACACATGATCTCTTAACAGTAATTACCAGTAAAGACTGTATGTGTGAAAGGGGTTAATGTTGGCAGGCCAGGCCACATAAAAATATGAATTACTATCCCAACCAGAGAACTGTCTTCAAAAGTATCTACTCTTGTGTTAAACAGCAAGAAAAATCTGCAAATGAGTTTGGAATGACATAAGGGTGAGTATTGGGGTGAGAATTTTTGGGTGAACTTCAATGAAAGAAAGGTGCAGACAGTCTAAAGAACAAAAGTAGCCATGCCAGGAAAACGAGTGAGACAGAATAAGAATGCAAACAGAGCCAAAATGCAAGTCAGGAAAAATACGGCACAAAGTAAATCTAGGGACAAAGACAGCTCCATCTGTCAATATAACCCAGGTTCGATACTCTCCACCCCCCGACTCTTCACTTAGCGCACACCCAAACCTCCAAATCCCACCCCAGGAACCCATGATGATGCCTGACCCAGTTTTCCCTAGGATGCTATTTTCAGGCATTCCTTGGGGACAGATGGGAGAGAGAGAGAGAGAAAGAGAGAAGGAAAGAAGACTGAAGTGGAAAACTGAGGTGTGGAAATCTCTGACAGGGATGTCCCATCTCCTAAGAGGTGTGATTCACTGAAAC